TCTTCTTCTTCTTCTTCTTCTTCTTCTTCTTCTTCTTCTTCTTCTTCTTCTTCTTTTTCTTCTTCTTCTTCTTCCTCTTCTTCGTCGGTGTCGTCGTCGTTGTCTTCTTCTTCTACCTTTCTTTTTGTTTTAAGTTTTCTTTTTTTTTTGTAGTATTAAGACTTAAACACAGGACTTGACCCACACTAGGCAAGTACTCTCCGACTGAGATATATTCCCCACCCATATCTACCCTTAGTTTGTTTCCTCTCTCCCACCGTCACCAGAGGCAACACTATGTAACATAGTCTATATCTCTCCTTTGTTTTTTTGTTTGTTTGAGACAGGGTCTTAGGTAGACCAGGCTAGCCTCAAACTAACCTGAGGATAACCTGGAACTCCTGATCTTCCTACCTCCATCTCCCACGTGCTAGTATTAGAGGCTATGCCACCATGCCTAGCTTTGTCCCTGTGTGCTTTTTCCATACTTTTATTAAATAGGCATTCACTGATTGTCAATATATGGCAATACTTATGTTACTAAACATACATAAATACATACAATATCATGGTGGTTTTTAGCCCTTGCAATACTTGGTGCATTTGAAAGTTTTTAAGATGTTTTTAAAATTATTATTACACTTCTTTCATGTGTGTGAGTGAGTGCACACATGTGGGGATCAGAGAATAATCTGTGGAAGTTCGTCCTTTTCTTCCACCATGTGGATCCCAGGGATCAAACTGAATAGTCAGGCTTGTCAGCAAGCATCTTTACCCACTGAGCCATCTCTTAGACCCATTTGAAATTTGTTTTTGTTGTTGTTTTCAAGACCAAGGACTACTCCATATAGCCCTAACAATTCTAGAACTCTCTCTGTAGACCAGGATGACCTCAAGCTCAGAGATTCCCCCTGCCCTACTTCCTGAGTGCTGAGATTAAAATCATGTGCCACCACACCTGCCTTGAAATTGCTTTAACCTAAGCTGTAGATTCAAACTTGAGTCTGGGTAGAGGGGCCTGATGTTTCTATACGTTAATTTATATTTTATGTATACCCTCTTTGACAATTAGCTTAGTTTAGCCTCTTGGACAGAAGTGACAAAAGGAAAAATCCAAGTAAGGAAACCTTGGAAGGAAGGAAGGAAGGAAGGAAGGAAGGAAGGAAGGAAGGAAGGA